CGGGGCGGGGCGGGCAGATGTTGGTGCCGCGACCTCTCGAGATCCCTGCCCCTGCCGCCCGCGCGCCACGCCCTGGAAAGTCATCACAGCCGATGCGCTCGCCTCTGCGCGCCGGACTGCTGGGCTGGGCGCTGCTGGGCCGGGCGCTGCGAAGGGGTTTCGTCTTCCGACACGCTCGTGGCCCGATGCGATCTGATGCGCCACCACCACCGGATGGCGCCGCAGCGCCAGGGACGCGCCCCGGCTCCCCCAAACACCACGACGTCAAAACGGCACCAAATCCATCATAACATTCCAAAAAAAAAGAAGAAGTTTTATTCGAAAAAAAAAATGTAATAAAAAAATTATGGACCGATGAAAAAGAATAAGGTCGGAACTGGGTCATACTATACACAGTGTGTGTTTTTATGGACGTAGCTAAACACATTTAAAAGTACCAACGCTCAGTTCGTCTAACGCCCGTATACGCTAACGCTCAGTTTGACATACGCTCAGTTAGGCTAACACTCAGTTTGGCATACGCTCAGTTGGACTAACGTTTAGTAAGAGTAATGCTAGGTCAAACCAACGTCTAAACGTCAAAACGCCCAGAAAAATCGACGCTGTGCCGGACAAGACCGGTCGGAACTGAAGCGCGTGATGACGCCGCAATCTCGCACGCTCACGCAGCAAGGCCGGCCAGCCCACCTACTGTACCTCCCTCCACCGCCGCGCCTCCACCCTCCTCTTTCCCCCTCGCTAACTTCCGCACGGCGCCACGGCCAGGTAGTTAGGCCCGTCGGGGAAGGACGGGCGGGGGATTTGGAGGGGGAGGAGAGGGGGGGGGCATGATTGACTGTCCGCATAGGTGACTGGGCGAGCCCCCTCCCCTCACAGATTTCACCCCCTCACCCCTCCTAATCCTGCTCAGGCTCGCGTGGCGTGTCCGGGCGAGGCCATGGACACCCTGCTGCAGTGCATGGGGGGAAGGGGGGAGGAGCACATATGCTGGAGAATGAGCATGCGGCGAGGAGAGGGGGGCCTTGCTTACATGGTGGTGTAGCGTTGCGTCTCAGGCAAAAAGGGGGCGCGTGGTGGAGCAGGGGGTAGGTAGAGGTGGGCGAGGGGATGGCTGAGGAGGTGGGCGAGGGGATGGGCGAGGGGATGGGCGAGGGGATGGGCGAGGAAGTGGGCGAGGGGGTTAGTTAAGCGAGCAGCCGGGAGGGAACGTGTAGGGATGTAAAGACGCCGCTGCGAGTGAGGGTCTGTGCTGTGTGTCAAAGAGAG